CTATTTTCAGACATCTTTAACTCATTCATTCCTGTTACGATATACTCGATGACTCAGCTTACATTCTTTAATCAGGGCAGATTAGTTCAACCTCATCACACATCCTCATTGTTGAGTACACATTTGAGTGAAGTAGAAATTTCCCCAAAAGACAACCACCACTTACCACCATCTGCTCAGCTGCCTGGTTGATGTTGTCGAGTCGAATCACAGCCTCCGAGGAGGGATAGAACGAGCCCAGCGAGGGTGTGGAGCTCAGCTCGACTCTGCCGTCACCAGCGGAGGTGGAGGTGACGACCTCCGTCCTCGTCAAACCGGTCTCTTCGTTGAGAGGTGAGGCGATTGGAGGGCCTGTGGCGGCGGCAGACGAGCTCGAGTCTCCGGCGTCCCGAGGCACTGGAGGCACAGACAGACCAGCCAAATGGCCGAGTCCAGAGGAGCCGAGCACACTGATTTGGCTACCGCCGGAGCTGGCGGATACACTCGTCGGACTGACGGTCAGGCTGGCGGTCGACTTTTCGCGACTGCCTGAGCGAAAAAGACTGGCCACATGCGTGCTGATGCGACGATGGTCACGATTCTGCCGGAAACCGCCAAGAAAAAAAAAAGATTTACGTCAAAACAACGCATGGTACAGTTGGCCCTGTTGACAAGTGGCAATAGTACAAAAGGGCTGGGCAAAAAGCAACCTCAGACTTCCAAGACGAGGCCGGGATCGAGGATGATTCAGGGATTCTTGGCTCGGAACTGTGAAGACCAAAATCCTGGATCACCTTGGGTCGCTTAAGGCGCTTCAAGGCCTGAGAAGAGATTCTTTCACAATAACCCACGAGGCAACTGCCCACAAGGCTCGACCCTGGAAACCAGATCATGCGCGTCCAGCGGCCTAAGAACCAATTACTGATGGGATGGTAAAGTTGTCTCAAGATATAAAAAAGCTAGATTCCAAAGAATTCATTAGTGGTACATCGTGACATGAAATGACATTTGAATTAGATGAAAAAGTTAGTCAGAAGTGATCCGTGAAATGGTTTCACTGAAAACCGAAAGAGGATTGATTGGAACGGAGTAAAGACAGTCGAAATTTACAAAGAGGTATTCAGCTCACCATCCTTCAAAACCTATGAACCTGTGCTAAGACTTCGTCAGTACCGCCCTGACTGAAGGCATCAGAAGAAGAATCCATACTTTACAAAAGAGAGCAGAGAAAAGAGGACGGTTGCAACCTTAGCCGAATGGTAAACTCTAACTTCCTCTATTTTCTTGAAGAAGAATGTAATTAATTAGTGAAGAGGAAGTGAATGTGGTGGCGACTGT